CCCCAGAAGTTAAATTGTTCTAACATCAACTCAAAAGTTCTCAGAGTTTCATCTAAATTAGATATAGGCAAGACTCAAAGCATGATTTATTCTGAGGTGAATTCTCTACAGCTGTGAGAGCATGAAAACAAGTCATTTACTTCCATAATACAAAGGTAGGACAAGTAAAGGATAGAATTCCATTCCAAAAGGAAAAAATAATAGGCAAGAAAACAGAGACAACTGGTCACAAGCAATCCAAAATCCCACAAGAAAATAACATTAAGTCTTAAAACTGGGAAATAATCTCTTTTGATTCCCTGGGTCCATCTTGGGCACACTACAGTAGGAAGTGGGACCTCAAGGCCTCACGCACAATAGTACTGCTGGTCCTAGCCCAGACAGCTCTCCCAGGTAGCATAACATGATGGTATTTCTACAGTTCTCTGGTCTTGGGGGTAGCTCCATTTTCATGGCTCCACTAGGCATTGCCCTAGTGGGAACAGTTTGTGGCAGCTCCGAGTTTGCTTTTCCACTTGACAATGGCTCTGCCCCTGTGCCAGTTTTCTCCTTAGGCTTTTTTTTTTCTGTATTAAATCATAGATGTGTACATTAATGAAGTCATGAGGTACAATGTGCTGGTTTTATATACAATTTGAAATATTTTCATCAAACTGGTTAACATAGCCTTCACAGCATTTTCTTAGTTATTATGTTAAGACATTTATATTCTACACTTACTGAATTTCACATGTACCCTTGTAAGATGCACCATAGATGTGGTCCCACCAATTAATCTCCCTCCACCCATCTTCCCCTTCCCCTCCCCTCCCTCTCCCCTTCCTTCTTCTTCTTGGGCTATAATTGGGTTATAGTTTTCATATGAAAGCTATAAATTGGTTTCGTAGTAGGGCTGAGTACATTGGATAGTTTTTCTTCCATTCTTGAGATATTTTGCTAACAATATGTTCCAGCCCCATCCATGTAAACATGAAAGAGGTAAAGTCTCCATCTTTCTTTAAGGCTGTATAATATTCCATGGTGTACATATACCACAATTTATTAATCCATTCATGGGTCGATGGGCACTTGGGCTTTGAAGCCCAAGTTCTCCCTAGGCTTTTAACTGCTCTGTGGCATCCTTTGAAATCTAGGTGGAGGAAGCTATCCCTCCACAGCTATTACATTCTTTATGCTTATAGAATTAGCACTACATGGATATTGCTCAGGCTCACCACTCTTTTCAGAGCAGTGGGTTTAGCTGTACCTGAGTTCACTGAGCCACAGTTGGAGCAACTGAGGAGTACTGTAACATCATGAGGAGGAGCAAAGTCCTGAGGGGGGTCTGGGCCACCTCCCTAAATTATTCTGCCCTTATAAAGCTCTAGACCTATGATGGGAGGTGCAGCCTCAGAGATCTTTAAATTATTGCCTTTATGGGTTTTGCTTATTGTCTTGATGAATAGAACATGGCTTCTTTTTAGCCATATCAATCTCTTTAGCAAGCAGTCACTTGGCCACACACTTAAAATTCTCTTCCAAATATATTTTTTCACTCTTTACATGGTCAAGGTACGAAGTTTCCAAATATTTCCATTCTGCTTTCTTGTAAACTATAAATCATCTCTTTCCTCTTATATGTCACTGTATGTGGACAAATGATTTGCTGGTTTGATTTTTTGAATCAGATATTCTATTTGATTGCTCTTAAATACCATATTTTATAAAGCCCTAGGAAAAGAACACAATTCTGCCAGAATCTTTGCTACTTAATAACAAAGATGGTATTTATTTAGTTTTCCATACTTTATGTCTCATTTTCAATTGAGACCTTATCACAATTCCCTTTAGTGTCCATTTTTTTTTTAAATCAATATTCTGGTCACAACTATTTAAGTAATCGCTGAGAAATTTTAGTCTTTACCTGCAGCTCTCCTCTTCTGAATCCACACCAAAACTACCCTTAATGCTCCATTTATTTAATCTAGGGTTTTTTTCTAACCTGTTACCCCAACTTTTTCTATTACCCAGTTCCAGAGCTGCTCCTACATTTTCAGGCATTTGCTATTGCAACAGCCCCCCTTTCTTGGTACCAATTTTCTGTCTTAGTCTAATTTCTGTTACTATAACAGAAGGCCTGAGACTGGGTAATTTACGAAGAAAATTAATTTATTTATCGCTGTTCTGGAGGCCGTGAAGTCCTAGGTCATGGTACTAGCATATGTTGAGGGCCTTCTTTCTGTGTTATTTTATGGCAAAAAGTGAGAGATCAAATGACTACATGTGAAAAGAGAGAAAACAAGATGGGCTGGGCTTGTTTTGTTACAACCGGATCTCACAATCACTAACGCAGTCTTATGATCATGGCTTTAATCTATTCATGAGAGTGGAGCCCCATAACCTAATCACTTCTTAAAAACTTCACCTCCTAACACTACCACAATGGCAATTAAGTTTCAACACGAGTTTTGGTGGGGATGTGCAAATAATATATTCCAAATATAGATAGATAATAGATAAATATAGATGCATCTATAGATTTCAGAATGCTGTCTTCATGATGATGGCCAGGGCAAGACATAGCAGACATGGGCTTCCTAAATTTTTTATGCTATATATATCAGTAGAAAAATCTATCTAGAGAAAATGGGAGGAATTTAAGGACTACAGAGAATTTATAAGAAATTATGGGGCTTGCTGTGCACAGCTAAGTAAGTACTTTGTTGAAGCATAATCCATCAAATAAAAAGACATTGACAAACCAGAGTATATTATTAGTTTCTATGTGATACCCCAAATATAATTTTACTCACAAGGACATAGTAAACACACTGGAGATAATGCTGTAATGTCTGTGCCACACCTTCTGAGCCCGTCTCTGGGCCTCAACTGTAGCTATGGAGGACAGTAACCTGCACATTCTCAGGGTGCCAATTCAAGGACAAAATAGCCTTTTTGGTTTTCTTCCTCAAATTTTCTTTCTGTGTGCTGACAGGTCTAGTGAAGGGTTTTAATGCCATCAAGGAAAAACTTTAACCAATGAGGGACAGGAGTCTGTAGTAAAATAAGTAAAATATTTCAGCCTCCCATCCTGTGTGAAAAGCCAATTCCACAATGCACTCTACATGATTACTCATAGGACTTACATTGAGACTGAGATTATTTGTCTACAAGGACACCATGTCCTTTATTTGTTTTCCTCCTTCCTAGTGTGGCACTCTCTGCTCCCTTCTTCTCTTTCCGTGGACAGCCTGTCAAATAAATATATTCCCAAAGACTAGTCTCATGTTGTGCTATCAGGAAGACTCAAGCAAAGATGTACATTGGTTTTATCCATATTTCTCTACCATTTATATAACTGTTTTATATTCACAATAGCCCTGTGAGGGATGTGGGTTGAGATGTGGGTCAGAGCATAGGCCCAGGTGTTGTTGTCAGCTCCATTTTACTGACAAGAAAAAGGCTTTAGGTAATTTGAGTGATTCACCCCAAATCACACAGCTAATATGCAGCAAAATCTTCCTTGACATGCTAAATAGGACCTTGCCTGTACAGAAAAGAATGAATCATTTCCCAAATGAGTTCAGTGTACTTTAATTTTATGTGCAACCCCAATTTAATGTGTCATAACTTGCTAGCTTAAAACATCAGCTAAAGCTCTTTAATTTGGATTCCATTAATTTATAGTATAGGAGTAAAATTCATTTTCTTTGTAAAGCTATTACTTAAGAGTATATATAGAGACATATATATACTCTTTTTTTAGACTTTATACTCTTTATATACTTTATATACTTTATGCTCTTTTTCTTTTGCAGTTTTTCTTTGGTCGGAGCTGGGTTTGAACTCATCACCTCTGGTATACGGGACTGGTTCCCTATTCCTTTGAGCCACAGGTGTCACCCAACAGTATATATTTTTAATCGGGCCAAATCATTTCTTCAATACCTACCTTTTGTTTCCCACAGCTATAATTTCTTAATGTTCTATGATACCCAATAAAAGACATAAGACTTCAGGCATACTGAATCTTTGACTACTTTATTGCTCTCTTAGTGCCTTTCAGCATCATGGAATTAAGCTCTGCCCCATCTCAAATTCTATTCAGAGATTTTTTTTTCTAGTTTTAGTTTTTTTATTTAATATACATGTAGATAGTATTAACTATGTGCTGAACATTATTCTAAATGTCTCACAAATAATTCATTAAAATTTTATAATAACCCTTTGAGGTAGGTACTGTTATTATTCTCATTTGACAGATGTGAAAATCTAAGGCACAGGGCAATGAAGTGGTTTGATCAGTGTCACACAGATGGTAGGTAAATGGCTAAAACGCAAATCAAATTGAGAAAACTTAGTTTCAGAGTCAGAAGCCCATGATTTTATCTGCTAATAGCTTCTTGAAAACTTTCAAATACAAACCTCATTCAGTCATCATACAACCCTCATACCATAATAAACAGTCAATAGCCAGAAAGGCTGAAGAAACACCTTATAAATTATTCTTTCCAGGAGTGCTCTTCATTACCAATTATGTGTAAATAATTAAGGCATTAAGGTCTCATAAGCCTCTAGATACCTTTATGCACTTTTTATGACTCTTTAAATCTGTGTCACAGCTGCTTTTTATTTATTTATTTGTTTGTTAAATCATAGCTGTGTACAGTCATGGGGTACAGAGTACTGTTTTTATATACAATTTGAAATATTTTCATCAAACTGGTTAAAATAGCCATTTTCTTAGTTATTGTGTTAAGACATTTATATTCTACATTTAGAAAGATTCACATGTACCCTTATAGGATGAACCATAGGCGTGATCCCACCAATCACCCTCCCTTAGTGTTTTCATGTTTTCTTCTTTGTTAAAAAATAAATTTCATTCTGTACATTTAAAGTATGCCACAGTATATTCTGAGAAATATGTGTATTAAAATGGTTACTATTGTGAAACAAATCAGTATATCCACCATTTGACATAGTTACCAATTTTTTTTCCACTGTGGCAAGAGTAGCTAAAAAACATGAAACATTTCACAAATTTGCCCATCATTCTTGTGCAAGGGCTATGCTAATCCTCTCTGTATCATTTCCGTTTTACTACATGTGCTGCCAAAGTGAGGAGGCTGTCAGAGGTTCTTAATGAGGAAACATTGGGACTAAGAAAGGTTTTCTTTTTTTTTTATTGAATGGTAACTATCTACATTAATGCACTTCTGGGGTACAGTGTGGGGTTTTCACATGCAATCTGAAATACTTCCATCAAACTGGTCAACACAGCCTTCATGTCATTTTCTCAGTTATTGCTTTAAAACGTTCACATTCTACTCTTAGAAAGATTCAC